CCCCCCCCCCGCCCCCTGCCAGTCTCTCCCGCGGAGGCGCCGCAGCAGCTGAGAGGAGCCAGCCCCGTGACTGGCATCGCTCTGCCCACGCCGCGGGGAGCGGGACTGAGACAGGGCGCCCGGAGCGGGGCGGGGCCCGGCCCGGGGGAGGGATGGCCACGCCCGTGCAGCGCAGCGGGCAGGAACCCTGAGCTCAGCCTGGCTGGGCCGAACCCGCGGAGCCAGCCCCGGCCGAGCTTGCTGGCCCAGGTCCCGCTTGCTGGAGCCCACCGCCCCTGCCTCTTCCAGGCAGAGACAAAATAGTTTAACTCTCTCACTCCTTAGGGACCCTGACGGGCCAAAGAGGAACTAGATACATTCATGGAGGCAGGTCAATCAATGGCTCTTAGCCAGGATGGGCAGGGATGTCACTATGTCCCAGTCTCTGATTACCACAGCAGATGGGTCACTTGATTCTTGTTCTGTTCATTCCCTCTGGGGCATCTGGCATTGGCCACTGAAAGAGGACAGGACACTGGGCTAGATAGACCTTTGGTCTGTCCCAGTGTGGCTATTCTCATAAGGCACATCTGTACTTATCCCAAGATCCACACTCTGGTGGTCAATCTTCTGGTGATTTATGGGATCTAATATAAACCAGTAAACTGAACACTGGGGATAGTCCCTGCCAGTGCTGGGTATGCCTCTTTTTGCCAGGAGTAAGGGAAGCCTACAGGAGCATTTGCTCCCAATGTGTGGATACCACTAGGACGCTTAAGATAAGCTGACACCAGCTACGCATTTTGCATAGCTGGAGTTGCATACCTTAAGCCAACCTTCCTGGCTTAGTATAGAGTAGGCCTAAGGACCTTCTCCATGGCTGTGTCTAGACTGGCAAGTTTTTCCAGAAAATCAGCAGCTTTTCCAGAAAAACTTGCCAGCTGTCTACACTAGCCGCTTGAATTTTCACAAGAACACTGACGATCTCATGTAAGATTGTCAGTGTTCTTGCGGAAATACTGTGCTGCTCCCATTCGGGCAAAAGCCCTCTTGCACAAATCATTTGCGCAAGAGGGCCAGAGTAAACAGCACAGTACTGTTTTCCGTAAAAAAGCCCCGATCACAAAAATGGCTATTGGGGCTTTTTTGCGGAAAACCACATCTAGATTGGCCACGGATGCTTTTCCGCAAAGAGTGCTTTTGCGGAAAAGCATCCTGCCGATCTAGACGTGCTTTTCCAAAAATGCTTTTAACGGAAAACTTTTCTGTTAACGCGTCTAGATTGGCCACGGACGCTTTTCCGCAAAAAGTGCTTTTGCGGAAAACCATCCTGCCAATCTAGATGGGCTTTTCCAAAAATGCTTTTAACGGAAAACTTTTCCGTTAAAAGCATTTTCGGAAATTCATGCCAGTGTAGACGTAGCCAATATGTTTCAGACATTTGTATTTTCAACCAGCCTCCTCAGTACAAACACATTCCTGAGTCTTCCTCAGCCCAATCCTCCCAGCTTGAGAACAACCCCTGTTCCACATGAGGTCAGTTCTGATAAAAATCTCTGAAACAGTTTAATGTACACATCCAGTTGTGTCTCCAGCATCTGCTTCAAAGTAAATGGTAAAGTGCTCCTCTCCTAAGAGAAGAACAAAATACAAAAAGTATGGGCTGGTAGGAAGAGCCAAGCATCTCTATGCCAAGTGCTACCACCACATACTCTCCACCAGCCACTTAGTCAAATGGGCTGGCCCTGTCTTCTCCTGAACTTCTCTGGGTTTTGTGCCTTATGCTAGGTGTGTGGGTGTGGAGAATAAGTAGGCTGGGGGAGACATTATAACCAGAACACAATGACTACATAAAAAGACCATTCGAAGGCACAATGGCCAAAATTTTCAAGTGTGGTTGCCTAAAGTTAGGCACAAAAAAGCCCACACATTTTAGTGCCTACATCAATGGCCCGATTTTCAGAGGCTCTATCCTAAAGCACTGAGGGCTGAGCAGCAGCACCTCTGAAAAAAACAGGTCACTTTTATTAGGTGCTAATAAATATGGATTTATTTACCTAACTGGTGAAGCCCCGCACTGAATAATGCCGATGTTTTTATCTGAGAGTGAGAAGGTAGCAGAGCAGCAGAAAAACTTTCCTTGAGCTAAGGTGAAGACATAGTAATAAAATGTTTTAGTTAAGCCAGAGCAGCAGTCACAAGTTTTTGCATTGCAATTAAGCTGAATCTACTGCATTTATGGATATTCCTTATAAGAACATTAATTTATTTTGTATTTTTGTCTGAAAATAAAACCCAAAACTTCACATATTAACAGTTAACATTGCATTCAAAAGAGTAGGAAGATAAATCACACAGAAACATTGAATATTTCTTGCTTTACCCAAATATTGAAATCATGCAATCGACACAAGTTATCAAACTATCCAGCAATTGCTCTGAGTCCTCCTAGATTCACTCATTGTGAAAACCTCTCCATTGGGACCAACGTAAGTTACCATCTTTTCCATATGCCAGTCTTGGTCCAGGGTGTTATGCTTCAAAGGGAGACTGCCATCTGGAGTGCTGTCAGAAAAACTTGCATAGTAATTTGGACAATTTTATGAAAAGTAAAGAGTAACAACCCAAGTATAGATATTCTTACATGGGTCACCTCTTTTCCTGAAACTGATGGACATGTCCTTTATGCAGCCATGACTGCCCACTTTTTAGTACTTGTAAAAGTCTATTTGTTTTGGAGTCTTGTTCTCAAATCTTACTTGAGGTTATGGCATTCTAACACCATTAACAAGGCAAAGCACCAGAGTAGCCCTGCAAACTGCCTCTCACTTCTCCAAGGACAAGACTCCAGTGAGATGCCTCAACCCTAACCTACATAAGTTAGAAGATAACTCAGTCTTTGGTGTGTCTGCTCTCTGGCAAGAAAAATCCCAGCTCATGCCAGCAATGGGGATGTTTTATGTGGTAGCATGCATTAGGAAATGGACTAAGGCTACCACCTCACTCCACATAGGTGTCTTAAGATACTGGCTCCTCTGCTGCCAAGAACAGATATAACATAGTATCAGAGCACTTCATGTGAAATGTGTGATAAACCAGTTACTCCTTGGCTATGTCTAGACTGGCATGATTTTCCAGAAATGCTTTTAACGGAAAAGTTTTCCGTTAAAAGCATTTTCGGAACAGAGCGTCTAGATTGGCACAGACGCTTTTCCACAAAAGCGCTTTTTGCAGAAAAGCGCCCATGCCAATCTAGATGCGCTTTTCCGCAAAAAAGCCCCAATTGCCATTTTTGTGATCGGGCTTTTTTGCGGAAAACAAATCTGGACTGTCTACACTGGCCCTTTTGCGCAAAAGTTTTGCGCAAAAGGACTTTTGCCCGAATGGGAGCAGCATAGTATTTCCGCAAAAACACTGACAATCTTACATGAGATCGTCAGTGCTTTTGCGGAAATTCAAGTGGCCAGTGTAGACAGCTGGCAAGTTTTTCTGGAAAAGCGGCTGATTTTCTGGAAAAACTGGCCAGTCTAGACACAGCCCTTTAGTACAGAAGTTGTAAAATAATTTTAAGACTGTATAGTTGGGACTAGAGGGATTATGCTGTAAAAGTCTTTCTCCACTGGAGGCTCTATTGAACTTCCATCACTCAAAATCAATACCTCACTCATGCTTCATGTTTAATATTGGAAAACCCTTATATTAGTGAAGGTTTTACCAAGTTTTTCCTAAATGGATATGACTTTTTTTTTTCTAATTTAGTCACAAGTACCTAAGAAAACAATCGAGTTCTTTCATAGTTATTCAAAGGTTATGGAAGACCTGGACAAGGACTTTACTCAATACTGTGCATTTCTATAATGCCATTCGTCCACTGATCTAAAAGTACATTACAACCAGTAAGTAATCTTCAAGGCACCCCTGTGACAGAGCTTATATACCCATTTTATAGTTAGGTAAACTGATTCAGTAGGCGATTTGGCTGAAGTTTTGTCAGAACCAAGAAAAGAACCCAGCTCTTCTAACTCCCTTATCTTTGCTCATGTGTCCTTCATACCAATCTTTCTGCTGTATCAGCACCTCTGTAAAAGCAATATAATTTGATAGTTTATAATAAACAACATTTCCTGTTTGTGACTATCTGGTTGAAATTATAAGGTGCTCAGATAATAGAGTGACAAGCACAATATAAAAACCTAGATAAAATCATTATTTCTTTCATAGTACCTTGCTCATATCTGCACATAACAGACATGGCTGTCATTCTAAGAACTGATGTCTATTTTTGTTAAAGCACTAAATTTCAGTAGGAACATTTTTTCATAAAACTCTTTGAACAACATTGATCTCTGGCCAGGAGTGTACAAAACATCTAGTTCGTTGTCATTAAAACTGGTTGCCCTTAAATAGTTTACGGCTCCTCCTGAAGTTAGCATTCTCTTCTGCTTTCCCAAAACATTCCTGGAAAACAAAGCAAAACAAAAAAACCCAAGACAGTAGAAAGATTGAAAACAGTAATTGTTCAAGCATTACTGCTGACATGTGGCAAGATTCGAGTTGCTGAAATTTCTAACATACCCAAGCTCACATTAATGAAGGAATAAGAAAAAGTTTATTAGCAAATAGTAAGAAGCTCTCAAAGTGTAAAAACGCAGAGTTGATAATAATAGGTGAAAGGAGACTAGCTAAAGTGAAGAGGAAAGTGGAAAATATTACAGAACCATAATTGTAAATCCCTTCCCACCACTTCATCTTTTATTCATATTGGCTCTAGGTTATTCCCCTAACTCCCAAGTAACCCTTTGTCAGCCTAAAACATTTTGTGCTTGTTTCTTGTTTCTATGGTATCACAACCACTCCATACAGTCCTTTTAAGTGATTAACTCATTGGGGCTTAATAATTGTACTAGACTAGAGGATTAATCCAGCACCATCAGGGTCACTTGGAATATTGCCAGAAGTTTCAACAGGTGGATCAAGCCATAACACCTCTGTGAAAGAAAGGACCTAATTCTGTAGTTCTGACTTGGGCACAACTGACATTGTCTTAAAAAATGTTTATCATGGAGGGGAGGAATCTAAAGTTGCCATATTTAAACAAGCATCTGAAAAGAACTCTACCTACATAAAGTTAATTACTAAACACCTACAATATAAATCCATACAAGAATATATTTAGTTTGTGAGAGTTATGTCCCTGTAAGAGAACCAAAAACACCAGCTTGAAACGGTTTTTTCCTGCAATCTTTTCAAAGAGAACATTTAATTTCTATCTTGGAGTCAGTCTCTTTTTTGGGCATATCTTGATTTATAGAGTAAAGATCTAGAAAGTCTTGGCCCTATGCTCTGAAAGTTCTGGTAACAATAGCTCTAGAATAAGTGTGTTCTTTTATTTTGATGGGATTGAAAGCCTACGTAGGCAATCAGGAGCCCCTGTGCAGAATTAGACCATTAGACAGAATTCCTTTAACTTTTAGAATAGCTTACTGTGGGGGAATTTGCAGATGATATTCTGCTGTTGTCACTCAAGAGAGATTTCCAAGCACTTTTTTAGAAAGAATCCTTTATTTCTAACAATTATTGCACAAATCAGACCTGAGTTTCCAGGTGCTGAACTCTATGTACCAGTGGGAAGCATGACTAAAAAATAAATGTTCAGAGCACTGCATAAGCATGTGCTTCCTGACGGAAGTGTGACAAGGCACTCTGCGGAGATGTGTCTAACCATTATATTCCAGCTAAAGATACAATGTATCTTACTCTCAAGGATACAATATGAGGCAATGAAAATTTTAAAGTTTCTCCCACTAAACTACCTGGCCTCTGGCTTGTGGCTTCAAAGTTCCTCAAAGCATTTAGAAAGCAGAAACAGACAAATTACAAAAATCGGTTTATTTGTATTTCTTTGTGGCAACAATTTTCTAATATATACAATTAAATTCTAAATGAGCCACATAATTTAACCCATAGTTTTTTCTTTCCCAATACAAAGAAAAAGTCATATCTTGAAAAAAGGCCAAGGAAATACCATAAGACTAAAACTAAGATGCACGTTATACCGTTATTGCTCAACTAAGACAAACTAAGGGCACTAATGGGTTATTCCTGAGTAGTGGAATGGAAACTAGGAGTGTGAAGCTGATACTTTCTTTTTACATCTTCATCATACCTGTGGAGAGGAAAAGCTGCCTCCTTAAGAAGGTTTCAACCACCTAATCTAGTGGATCTTTACCTAACATTCATGGCTCTTTGTGACACACTGATAGCAAGAACATCCACTTTAAGAGTCCTTTTTTTTTCTCTTGGTTCTTCAACTCTCTTTGAAAGTACATAGTCCAGAGTAAGTTGTGATGATCTAGCCTATTATTTTCTGGGGTGAGGTGAAAAAAAGCAAAGAATGTGAGTGGAGTTCAACAGGCCCTTGCATCCTCATGCATACATCCGGATCCTACCACAAACTGCTTCAGAGATAGTAATAGAGCATGGAGAATACCTTGGAGTTAGTTCTCCCCTTTGTAATTCCTTTCCCTGCCTGAGCCATGAATTTCAGCTCCCCTCCATTTGAGGAGAACATGAAAGCTAATTAGCGAGATGCACTAGAAGACAGCATGTCTTTTTCCAAATAAGAATCTTACAAGAGCTTGCAATGGAATGGTGGGAGGTGAACCAAAACAAACTTTAAGCAGAAGTATATGGGAAAGCAGTAACTTTTCATATTACTACCAAAAACATGAGCATGCATGGGACAAGCATCACTGAAGTCAACAGAAGCGTGGGTAGACCCCTCAACCTTGACCAAACTGTAGTGATATTGTAAGATTTCTAGAAACATTTTCAGACAATTGGAAGAACTTCTTTATTTCCTTTCGCTTAACTTCCATCTGATTATTATTGCCACTAGGGATGTAAAAACTACCCAAAATAGTTAACTGGACAACGATGCATTTAACTGGTTAACCACTGGCTGCAGGTGCAGGGACTGTTCTGATCCCAGAATGGGTGGCGGGGCTGTACCTTCCCTGCTGTGGGCAGCAGGGGCTGTCCCAACCCCGACGCAGGAGGTGGGGGTTGCTCCAGGTTCACGGCTGCCCTGCTGGTTAGACCATTGTGGAGGAGGGAAGGAAGAGGCTCTGATTAACCAGTTAGCCAGTAAGCATAAAGCATGTGCTTACCAGTTACCCTTTAACATCCCTAATTGCCACATCCTTCATTCAAAGCTACATTAATGATATCCTCATCCAAACTTTGAACTGAATTCTGCAATAATGTATCATAATTTGTCAGGTGGAAACCCAGAAATCTTAACTCATGTGGGCTCTTTGACACTCACCTATCATCTATTTAACTTTAGCACTTCCAAAACATATAACTAATAACAAGGTCTACTGGAATTACCGAAAGTTAGGGCTGTGTAAATGAATTCTGTAAGTCTGCGGCATAGGTAAACCAAAGGATTTATACCTCTTGATAGTTAAATATGAGGGGTTTTCTGTTCCTCCTTTTAACATTAAAACACTGGTTTCTGCAGACTAAGGATATGCAAGTTAACCAACCTTCTCTCCAAGACAGACACATGGTGAGTGGCTTTGATGAATGAACTTCCTTTAGAAGTGCAAAAGGAAAACCAGCTCATTATGCTGCTGGACAGGATGTAGTGACACAAAATTGATTTTCCTCAACACTATCTAAAGAAGGGGGCAAAAGCACACACAAACTGCAACATAATGAAGCTTTTTGGAGAGAAAGAGCAAGCAAATGAAGACATCTGCTCTCACGATTCTTCGTGTTTGTCTATTTACCATTAGACATGACATTTAAACCCCATGCTTTCCAGATTTTCATAACATAGGTTACTCTCTATTAAGGCAAGTCATTTTATAACTATAAAGAATTCCATGGGCTTTGATTCCCAAAATTTGGGATCCTTGCTAGGAAAACTATATTTTCTAGGAAAAGGGAGCATTCAATTTTGCTTAATTCCTCAGAATTCTACTCGCATCAGCCATGTCACATTTCTCATCCCTCTGGCTATATGGTCTCTGATCTGAACTCACACAGAAAATATACTGAAGTTGGAGAGTATGGAAAGGAAGCATGCTTAAAATGTACACACTTCAATTACCTTGTTATTATTTATACACAGTAAATGACAATGTTCGATGCGCTCTCTGCCTTTGCAAACAGACATCCACTTTTACTCTAGTGAAACCATCTCACTTCTGAAGTGAAAAGTTAAACTATCGAGTAAAAGTTATACAGACTACATGTAACACAGCTTCCCAATTTGAGATCATTTTAGTATGATTCTGACCCCCTGACTCTGGTTATCTTCTGTTATATTCCTCTCCATTCCATATAGGACCACTCAGCATTTGAAATAGCGGAGAAAGCTATTTCAACACAAAACTCACCAGTGTCATGATTGATTAACAAACCAAAATCTTAAAAATCAGTCATCTAAAGGGCTGCTCTCTTGTGTTCAACCATTAAACAATAAACACGCATGAACTACAAAAAGGTTAACTTTGTGTCATAAATAAGTTTGGATAGAATCTCAAGCCTTCTACTGAATCATCTCTGCAAAGATGGCCCATCTTTTCAGCTAGAAGCAACCTGAAGGAAGAGAAAGAACATCTGTAATATTTAGTAAGGGCAATATGATAATCAAGGAGTTATTAAAAATAAATACCTCTCTTTAGCTAAAAGAACAGACATCCCCACAAGCTTGGCAAACTCTTCCGCTGTTAGAGAACCCTTTTCAGATACCTATCAGAGAGAAAAGCACGGCATTAAAATAGTGATCTTTTCCGCTATACTACAAAATGAAAGAATTTTCTCCATTCTTTTAGTCCAGTC